CCTGTTATCTGACACTGTTGAAAGAATCTGGAGGCAGGCTTCATTCCCTCACATTTCCCGCCTCCCTTCCTCTTGCATGAGCTGAATGGGCCTCAATAGCCAGAGAAAACTTTCAGGCAGATAAATGTAGGCACTGGAAGTTGATTGCTGGGCAGGTGTGATCTGGAAAGGAAAGGGAAAGTGGAGGTGGCCACATCTGCTGAAGGAGATGAGATGAATAAAAGTCCACAGGCACCAGGAACCTGGGAGCATCAAGGGTACAGCAGTGAGCAAGAGAGAAGCATTCCCGGCCTCACTAAGCTGGCGGACTTCAGGTCCAGACATGTAAACAGGCAAGTACAATAGAGTGGATAAGAGCAACAGAGACAATACAGGGAGCTAGAGCTACACTTCTGGCCTCCAAGACCCAGGAGGATAGGGCCAGCATCCTACTCATTTTTCAACCCCATCGCCTAAAGTAGTATACATTTAATACGTGTTTTCTGGCCCTACACTGAATTATCAGGCACATTCCTGATGCATTATATTTATTGTCTCTGTCTCTTACTATGTCCCAATACGGAAGGTGTGTCCCCATTTTACAGTGGAGGAAATGAAAGCACTTCGAATTCCTCTTAACTGCCTTTCTACTAACATCCTTCATATCTCAGCTTTGATGTAATCTCCCTGAAAGGCCTGCCTGCACCATGTGCCCTCATTTCCAAGCTGAAGTTATCTTTATCACAGAACTTATCTTCTGCTTTGCAATTGGCAACTCATTCTCATGAATTCTCATGAGCAGAGCTCTTTAAGAGCAGGAACTGTGTCTGTGTTGTTTAGCAATGTATACTCAGCATCTAGGCTAGTGCTGGCACATTTCATTTACAACAATCATTTTTGAATGACTTGAGTAAGTGACTAAGGCTCAGAGACATTAAGTAATGTGACCAGTCACAAAGCTACGAGGTGGCACAACTGAGGTTTGAACATTTTGCTGAGGGATAAGCAATTTAATCCATTTATAGCAACCAGAAAATTTCAGTTGGATTAAATGCTGGTATTTTTAGGTCAAAAGTAATGGGTAGGGAGTCTAAGAACTTCTCATAATCTCTAAATTCCTCATCAGGCTGAGAAATTATCAAACAGAACTGTGAACCCAAAGCTAGAAGAAGGGTCCTAGAGGGCAAGATTCCTTATCCAAACTTTGCCTGGACTGGACAACATTTAAAATTATCTGTTTAGGCCGAGTGCAGTGGCTCACACCTGTAATCCCAGCACTTTGGGAAGCTGAGGCTGGCGAATCACGGGGTCAGGACATGGAGACTATCCTGGCTAACACGGCAAAACACCATCTCTACTAAAAATACAAAAAAGAAAAAAAAAATTAGCCGGGCATGGTGGCATGTGCTTGTAGTCCCAGCTACTTGGGAGGCTGAGGCAGGAGAATTGCTTGGATGCAGGAGGTGGAAGTTGCAGTGAGCCAAGACTGCGCCACTGTACTCCAGCCTGGGTGACAGAGCCAGACTCTGTCAAAAAAAAAAAAAAAAAAAAAAAAAAAAAAAAAAAAAATTCCCTTTAACATTTTAAGATTCTAAGTTTTAACCTAATCTCTAGACAAAAGGAAAAGTGTTCCTTCTAGCACCAATAACTAATTGACCTCATCAGCTTACTAAAATAACTTTAAAATATTAGAGATAATTTTAAGTACCTGATATGGTTTTTTTTGCTCCTTTAGACACTGCAGAAAAGTCTTCTCAAACTCACACTTGTCAGACATACACAGAGCTACATTCAAAATAAAGAGGATGGGGGAAGACAATGGTTTGGAAATCAAAGGAACTCTTGTTCTGCCTTATTTGTCCAGACAATATTCTCACTCCCTCATTTTTGCCAAGTCAATGACAGCCATCTACCATTTAAGCATGCACTTTGAACATACCATCAATTCTAAAATGTCCAAGAAGCAACATAGATTCAGTAACAGCCTTTTGGTACTGGGGGTGAGGATGGGAGGTGGAGGTGGGGAACTGAGAGATGAAACAGACAGGAAACACTCAATGAAATGTTCACTGGAATTACAATGTACACATCCTGATTTCAGACTGCTAACATGTCCCACTAAGAAAGCCTTAGAATTGAAAAAATATGCTAAACAGAAAATTAACAAATTATATTTATAAAGTGCCTACATATTTTGTCCAGATGATATTTCTAGATATAACTAAAAAATAGTGGGAACAACAAAAAGAAGTTTCACATAATTGCATGTTTTTAGGAGATAAAATGCATTTAAAAATTTCCTTGAAGCTTTTAGAGTATTGAGATTTGTTTCTCAAACTAATAAATTTAAAAGTTAACAGACCAATCAATACATACATATATATATATACATATATAATGTGGGTGCTTGGATAATCGGTGTGAGCTTTCTTGGTAAAATCTGAAATGGGGTTTAATTTCTACTTCAGCACTTTTTCTTCTGCAGAAAAATATGTCTGCGCCCCATCAGCTTTCAAATCAAAATTCATACATGCAGCAAATCAAATTAACTGTTAATCAGTCATCCCTTTGACTTGATCACTGATTCAGAAGCGCAGAAGTGAACACTGCATTGTATTTCATCTGGTTTTTACCACTTTGCTGGTTTCCAGCCGAGTCCTGCCACAGTGCTTACCAACAGGATTGAAATAACAGCCAATAGCAAAAAAGCCTTGTGAAAGGATCAGCATTTCATGAATCCCTCAAGGATCTCAATATATAATCCAAGATGTCACAATGAGAATCAAAAGCAGGACAAAAACATTTGATTACCGAGTTAAAAGAAGGTGTGAAAGAAATCACTAAGATCAAGAATACATATATGAAATTTACATCGTGTAGTCGAGGATTACAAAATGTATGGCACTGATACTCTGCTGCCCAATCTTATGCCCACAGCTAAGCCCTAATCAACCCCAGAGCCAGATGCAGCCTCAGAGTCTATTTTAACACATTTCTTCAAAAAGCCACTCGAGATAATTGGCCCTAGAATCAAGACTGAATTATTTGCTCCTGTCAATGAATACTGAATATTTCTTTTGTGTGTGTGTATATAAATATATATATATTTCTTTTTTTATTGCAATTGTGCTTTAGGTTCTGGGGTACATATGCAGAACATGCAGGATTGTTGCATAGGTACATACATGGATGTGGTTTGCTGCCTCCATTCCTCCATCACCTATATCTGGCATTTATCCACATGTTATCCCTCCCCAACCTCCCTACCCCAAGCTGTCCCTCCCCATGCCCCCTTAACAGACCCCAGTGTGTGATGCTCCCTTCCCTGTGTCCGTGTGTTCTCATTATTCAACACCCGCCTATGAGTGAGAACATGCGGTGTTTGATTTTCTGTTCTTGTGTTGGTTTGCTGAGAATGATGGTTTCTAGATTCATCTGTGTCCCTACAAAGGACAGAAACTCATTGTTTTTTATGGCTGCATAATATTACATGGTGTATATGTGCCACATTTTCCTTGTCCAGTCTATCATTGATGGGCATTTGGTTGGTACCAGGTCTTTGCTATTATAAACAGTGCCACAATGAATATACGTGTGCATGTGTCTTTATAACAGAATGACTTATAATACTTTGGATATATATCCAGTAATAGGATTACTGGGTCAAATGGAATTTCTATTTCTAGCTCCTTGAGGAATCACCACACTGTCTTCCACAATGGTTGAACTAATTTACACTCCCACCAACAGTGTAAAAGTGTTCCTAATTCTCCACATCCTCTCCAGCATCTGTTGTCTCCAGGTTTTTTAATGATCACCATTCTAACAGATGTGAGATGGTATCTCAATGTAGTTTTGATTTGCATTTCTCTAATGACCAGTAATGATGAGCATTTTTTCATATGTTTGTTGGCCTCATAACTGTCTTCTATTGTAATGTGTCTGTTCATATCCTTCACCCACTTTTGAATGGGTTAGTTTCTTGTAAAGCTGTTTTAGCTCTTTGTCAATTCTGGATATAAGTCCTTTGTCACATGAGTAGATTGCAAAAATATTTTCCCATTCTGTTGGTTGCTGGTTGACTCCAGTGATTGTTTCTTTTGCTGTGCAGAAGCTCTGGAATTTAATTAGATCCCATTTGTCTATTTTGACTTTTGTTGCCAATGCTTTTGGTGTTTTAGTCATGAAGTCCTTCCCTATGCCTATGTCCTGAATGGTTTTGTCTAGGTTTTCTTCTAGGGTTTTTATGGTGTTAGGTCTTATGTTTAAGTCTTTAATCCATCTGGAGTTAATGTTAGTGTAAGGTGTCAGGAAGGTGTCAAGTTTCTGCCTTCTGCACATGGCTAGCCAGTTTTCCCAACACCAATTATTAAACAGGGAATCCTTTCCCCATTGCTTGTTTTTGTCAGCTTTGTCAAAGATCAGATGGTTGTAGATGTGTGGCATTGCCTCCGAGGCCTCTGTTCTGTTCCATTGGGCTGTATCTCTTTTTTGGTACCAGTACGATGCTGTTTTGATTACTGTAGCCTTGTAGTATAGTTTGAAATCAGGTAGCATAATGCCTCCAACTTTGTTCTTTTTGCTTAGGATTGTCTTGGCTATGTGGGCTCTCTTTTGGTTCCCTATGAAGTTTAAGGTGGTTTTTTCCAGTTCTGTGAAGAGGGTCATAGGTAGCTTGATGGGGATAGCGTTGAATCTATAAATTACTTTGGGCAGTATGGCCATTTGCATGATATTGATTCTTCCTAACCATGACCATGGAACGTTTTTCCATCTGTTTGTGTCCTCTCTTATTTCCTTGAGTAGTTTGTAGTTCTCCTTGAAGAGGTCCTTTACATCCTTTGTTAGTTGTATTCCTAGGTATTTTATTCTCTTTGTAGCAATTGTGAATGGCAGTTCGTTCTTGATTTCGCTCTCTTTAAGTCTGTTATTGGTGTATAGGAATGCTTGTGATTTCTGCACATTGATTTTGTATCCTGAGACTTTGCTGAAGTTGCTTATCAGTTTAAGGATGTTTTGAACTGAGATGATGGGGTCTTCTAAATACATAGTCATGTCATCTGCAAATAGAGACAGTTTGACTTCCTCCTTTCCTAATTGAATATCCTTTATTTCAATTCTTGCCTGATTGCTCTGGCCAGAACTTCCAATGCTATATTGAATAGGAGTGGTGAGAGAGGGCATCCTTGTCTAGTGCCAGATTTCAAAGGGAATGCTTCCAGTTTTTGCCCACTCAGTATGATACTGGCTGTGGGTCTGTCGTAAATGGCTTTTATTATTTTGAGATATGTTCTGTAGATACCTAGTTTATTAAGAGTTTTTAGCATAAAAGGCTATTGAATTTTGTTGAAGGCCTTCTCTGCATCTATTGAGATAATCATGTGGTGTTTGTGAAGATGACTGAATATTTCAAGCCATGATGGCTCCCATATATATTGGAGCCTGGCTATGCTGAGCTACTTATCCATCTCTGAATGTACTGTGAAACTTCAAGCCCTTTGCCTTTGTTTTTTCTGTGTCCTACCTGGAAATATCTTTTCTCTATTCCTCTACTAGTGGAAATCTTATTTATTTTTTGTGGCTCCATACTACAATTTCCAGTTTTGTGAAGTGTGCCTCACTCATTGCCTCTAACCATAATGAAATATTTGCAGTTATTTATTCCACAAGTTTCAGTGAGAGGTACTTGGGCAATCTAAAAGAAATATTATGACCAAATAATGATAATAATAATCATTATTATCACTATATATAACATATTTATATATAAAATATACTTTAGTCAAAACACAGAAGTAGGCTGGGTGCAGTGGCTCACACCTGTAATCCCAGCACTTTGGGAGGCTGAGGCAGACGGATCATGAGGTCAGGAGTTTAAGACCAGCCTGGCCAACATAGTGAAATCTCATCTTTACTAAGAATACAAAAAATTAGCCAGGTGTGGTGGTAGGGGCCTGTAGTCCAAGCTACTTGGGAGGCTGGGGCAGGACGATTGAACCCCAGAGGCGGAGGGTGTAGTGAGCTGAGATTGCACCACTGCCCTCCAGCCTGGGTGAAAGAGTGAGACTCCATCTCAAAAACAAACAAACAAACAAACAAACAAACCAAAACAAAACAAAAGGCACTAAACTAAAGAGGGAAATGAGAAGATTTACGAACTAGAATTCCTTTCTCTATTTTTAAGATAAAGCTGTGCTTCTACTATAAAGTGAGTCAATATATAACAGTTTAGTGTTATCCTGCATCCCTATTGTAAAATGCAACAAGGAGAGAAATCAAAATATAATATCACTTTGTCCTGGGATATAAAAATTTCTTTCAATGCAGAATATCTTACACCACCAAAATTATGTCAAGGGTTAGCAAATGTTCTAGTTCAGTTGTTCCCACACGGGACTGATAACTCAGAAGCATAAGATTCTATATTTGAAGAATATAGATTTCCTAAGTCACATACTCAGCCTATGAACAACGTTTTTAGGGTGTAGGGCTCAAGAATCCATACTTTATAAAAGCTCCGCTAGGTGAGCTGGCAAACCGCTAGGGTGAATATCTTAACTGACGATTTTCATAATAAATGTCTGAGGTGCGGACATTAGTACACATTCCTTACAACTATAAATGAATATACACATTCAGGCACACAATATTTGGATTCCATTTATGTTGTTAATTTCAGGGAAGACACAGACTGTTGGTTCATTCACTTTGCTATTTTGGCACTGTAATTACGGGGGAAGGGCTGCTAAAACTTTCAAGTCTGACAAATTTCTGAAGAATAAAAAATGGACTTATCTTAAGATAAATGTTTCATGTTTGTCTTCAGTCTAAACAAGAAAACAAACAAACAAAAAACTAGAAAACATTTGGGGGCAAAACTTAGTTATAATTCAATTTAACTGATTAGTCTAATCATGCATAAAACCTGCTTTTCTTATGTTAAAAGACAGTGTTAAAGTAGGAGTTTTTCATTTTGTTTTGTTTTACATGTCAATAGCAAAAGAGCTTAATTTTTAATATTTATGCTACATAATGACCTTAATTTCTTAAGGCAAACAGGAAAAAACATGTGCATGTCCAAAGAAATAAAAATTTACCATCATAGTGTTCTTAAAAAGTAGAAACCCTGCAGATGTAATTTACAGCTCATCTTGGGCTAACAATTCACACTATAAAATAAAGGAAATTCTAATCTAGTGGACTCCATTAACTGGATGTTTTCTGACAATCCTCTAAGCACTACTCTATGGTTAATCAATAAATACAGGGTGATTAGTCTCCTGTTAATAATGGTCTAGCACACATGCCCTAGTTGGAACCAAAGACATCAGGAATACAGATGAATGAGTTGACTCAAACTCCAATAAATAAATAGTATGAGAAATGAATCCGACTTTCAGACAACACAGTAAGTTCCACACAGCCTGTACAAAGTATAGCTGGTACACAGGAAGGACACTAATGTGCATTTAAGAGAACAATTTGAAATTCCATTGCAAACATTCATTTTCATGAGTTTCCTTTCTGTGCTTTATCTTTGTTTGCCTTTGAGGCGTAAGCTTAGGAAGAAAAAAAAAAAAAACCAAATAATACAAACCTACTGGCTTACTGGGTCAGACCAAGCTTCCTGGGTCATACACCATGCCTGGAATGTGTCAATTTGCCTTTTAGGTTAAAATAGATTTGACAGTGCACTGGGAAATTAATTTTAAAATCATAACTGTGCTAGGCAAGAGAAAGATAATACTCCATCACTAAAATTATTTGGCTTACTATGTAAAAATACAGCTCTCACCATGCGTGAATGTGGTTTTGGAGTAGAGTTGCAATTCTCACATTCAGCTGTGGCAACTGAGAGAATCTGGATAATTTTCCATATTTGCACTGCAAATTTGTGGCACAGATAACATTGGAAAAGAGGACTTATTTTGGCTATTTGCAATTTCCAAAAATGGTCACATTAATATTTCTGATTCTACATGCTTTTGCAAAACCTGTTACTTGCTCGTCAAGAAGTAGAATCTGTTTCTTCTCTCCTCAAATCTCGGTGATGCACTGTGACTACCTTTACTGAGAGAATGTAAAGGAAATGATGCAGCCTGACTTCCAAGAAGAGATCATAAAAGTTGATGCTAACCCAAGCATGGTGGCACATACTTGTTGTCCCAGCTCCTGGGGAGGCTAAGGCAGAAGGATCACTTGAGCTCAGGAATTTGAGGCTGGCCTGAGCAATACAGTGAGTAATTGTCCCTAAAGAAATAAGTAGGCAGGGTGGATTGCCTGAGCTCAGGAGTTTGATATCATCCTGAGCAACATGGTAAAACCCTGTCTCTACTAAAACACAAAATGTTAGCCTGGTGTGGTGGCGAGTACCTGTAGTCTCAGCTACTCTGGAGGCCGAGGCAGGAGAATTGTTTGCACCCGGGCAGTAGAGGTTGCAGTAAGCCGAGATTGCGCCACTGCACTCCAACCTTGGTGACAGAGTGAGACTCTGTCTCCAAAAATAAAAATAAAAAAAAGAAGTAAAAATAAAATATAAAGTTGATACAGCTTCCACTGGGCTCTCTTGGGACAGCTGCATTTGGACCTTAGCCGCCATATTATGATTCAGACAAACAGCCACATGGAAGGGCCACGTGTAGATGTTCTAGAGCCACAACCACATGCCCACACCAACCACCAGACACATGAACAAGTGGCTCTGAAGATGTTTTCACCCTTTAGCTTTCTGGTCATTTCATCTTCATCTGCTGTCAAATAGAGCAGAGACAAAATGTCCCCACTGTGCCCCTAGGCAAACTGCAAACCTGTGAGCAAAAGAAATATTATTGTTTCAAATTACTGTATTGGGTGGCTTGTTACATAGCAACCGAGATACATATCAAGCGTCTGGATTCTGTTTTATCTTCTGTCAGCCATTTAAGTCACTCTTTACCAGGAAACAATTCAACAATCATTTCACAGTGATTCTATCTGCAATCATTCACACATGGCAGTGCCTGCCTCTCAGAACTGCCTTGTATCCACTATGCATTTGGTCACTCCTGGACCAGCATCATGTGAGAGCTATGTTTATTCAACTTGTGCAATGTGAATTCATTTGCAAAAAAATTATACAAGGAATGCATACTCACAAAAATTCAAATTTTATAAATGTTTAGCTAAAAAAAAGCCCTGTTTATTGCCTAACTCCCCTTCAATTCTACGTCTTTCAGAGGCAATTTCATCAAATTTAGTATGCATCCTTTCCAAGCCTTCTCTACACACACACACGCACACACACACACACACACGCACGACACATCCTCAAGTATGTATCTTAGACATTTTCCCCTAAATATCATGAGTTTCTTTTTGATACATTGATAAAGCAACCGTATTGATAATGAAAATTAAGTAATTGTAATCCAGATATCAAGAAAAGAAGAAGAAGATGCTAATGACAATTGCCATTTTCTGAGTTCTTACTACAGGCTAGGTACTATGCTAAACAGTTTGCATGCACTACTCTAGTTAATACACTGCCTATTCAGTGAATACAAATCTTTAAAGAAAAATAGCTCAGAAAATAAATTCAGTATTCCCCAAATCTTATTGAGTTGCCAAGATGCATTACTATGTCTTATACAAATGAAAAAGAATCCCAGAAAAGAAAGTTTAAGCCATCTGATATGTGCTGAAAAGATGTCTGCTGCCCAAGGAGCAGGGTTAAAGACACAGGATTCTTTAATTTTCTTTCAGATGAAAATTACTCCAAAATATAGACTCTAGGCCAGACCTCTACTCTGAGTTCTAGCACTATATATCTAACATGTTTGACACATCCACTTAGATGCCTCAAAGATTATTCAAACTCATATGCCCAAAACTTCGGATTTTCCCCTGCATGTGCACATATGCATACACACACAATGGTGTTCCCAAACTTTCTGGCATCACTACCCAGCCAGCTGTGCAAGCTCAGAAAGACTTGGCAACATATTATTGGACACTAACCCTTATTAACTCATCTTAATTTAGAGTCATAAATATCTCTGAAATCTTTCCCCTTCTCTCCATTTTTATTGCCAGACCCTAGGCCAGTTCACAAGCATCTCTTACATAGACTGCTGTAACAGACTACTCATCGCCTCCCAGCTCTCCATCGAGGTCAATTCCAATCTTTCCTCTGTGCTGTAGCTAGAGTGATATTTTCAAAACGCAATTTCATCATTTTAATTCCAGGCTTAAAACTCTTCAATAGATAACCTCTGCTTTGAGGATAAAAATCCACATTTTTCTCAAAGCTTATAAGTCAAGTATGGTTCATGCCTACCACTTCCAACTCAGCACATGCCCCTTTTCCTCTCACGGTTTAGTCACAAAGCCTTCTTTTGTTTTCTTCAAATACACCAAGTTTTTTCCCACCACAGAGCGTTTGCATGAGCTGTAACTTCTATCTGAAATGCTCCTCCTTTCCTCAAGTAATCTTTTGCATCTTCAGCTCTCAGCTTAACTATCAGTTTCCCAGTGAATACTTCCAATAATTTCACAAAATAGTTTATATTCATTTATTGCAGGCTATCAATGCCACATTCCCCTTCTTGACAGCCCTGTCATAGTTTGAAGTTGACTTTTATTAAAGTAATATTTTAAATGTATGTCTTCCCAATTTTACTGTAAACTTTTGGACAGCAAGGACCCGAAGTGTGCTGAAGCCAGCTCATGCTGGCTCACATTGCTTAATGTATCCATATCTTCCTACATTGTAGAACATTGGTAGCTTGAAATTGGCTGTAGTGGGGGCATTTACATCACAGAAATGAACAAATACTAAAAATCAGAGTTTTTGTTTTTGTAAAGCCAGTTGTTAAACATTTACCAGCAAGAACCATGCTTGCCTTTGCTTATTAACATATCTCTAAAATCTAGGACAGTGCCCAGTACATAAAAAACTCTAAATAAGTATCTGTTAAATAAATGAATGAATGCTCTAATCATAAGTTCAGCCAGCATTCCAGTGGATGCCCTCTTGCAATGAATGTGACCTCTTAGTTTTATGAATGAGAATACTTCCAAAATGCAACTCCTATTTCTTGTTTGTTTTCAGACATTTCTTTATCTGGATAACTACTCTCTGTCTGAGTTTCCAGAGCCAATGACATAGCTGAAACATGTAATTCACTGACAGCACAATTCCTCAATAGTCAACTGATAATGCTATAATACATTTAAACCTTATAACCACAATCATCCTTTCTCCCTCACCCCTCCGTTTTTCCAGGATTCCTGGAATAACTGAGTTGATAAATGGAATAATTGAGTCAAGAAAATAAAAGAATATATTTGGAAGCATAAATGTACTGTGAGTATATGTGTGTATGTCTGTGCACATGAGCACACACGGGCATATGTCAATCTTTTTGGAAGAATCTCCATATATAAGGAATAATATCTTTAAACAGAAATGGTGAGAGGGTTGGTGGGAGATAGAGGACAAAGTATGTAAAATGAAACATGAAAAGATAGCAATCCACACTTTGTCATCTACAAAGGAAGAAAATCGTACCTCCAAGATGGTTGCCTCCAAAATTAACCAACTACCCAGACAAATAATAAGCAACTCATGCACTTAGGCCTATAAGAGCCAAGCAGTGTGACAATGATTGGGTAGGGGACCAACACCATCCTAAAGAGTAAAACTATGGACATTGTTTAACCCTTAGAATCTGCTTCAGGTTTCAGGTCACTGAAAATAATCATGATGTATAGAATTACAGATGTCTACATGACTCTTCCCCAAATTCCACCTCTGCTTAAAATATAGATGTTTTCCAAAGCTGACTTATCTTTTCAATTAACATTTTGTGGGCTCCAAGAAATTCTACTGGGTACAGCTGGATACGAAGGAGATGAAGCCTGGCAGTATTGGTACTGGTTGATTCTCCAATCATTCTTTAGGGCTGCTGACTTACAATGCTGGGCTAACAAATGGGTATTTGGTTGAATTCTTTCTTTTCCTTTTTTTTTTTTTGAAATCCCAGGAAATGTTAGAAATCTCTTTTCTCTTTCTGTGAAAAAACTCATTAGTGTATTATAAATAATTATGTGGCTTTTGCAAGAAATATACATCACTGCTGGAAAACAGACACTCCATGATTCCTTGCTTCTCAGATGTATCAGTAATTTCTGCCACAGATAATGCAGCTTTCATTCTGGTGGCATTTCCAAAAGCAAAGGCACTGGAAAAATGCAAAGAAGTCAAGAGAAGCCTTGTATTCTTCCTGTAGAATTCAAAGAGAATGAAATTAAGAAAATTTCTAGCATTCCAAATCTTTTTCAGGTCAGCAAAATAAATTATCAAGACATCTTAAATAAAAGAGTAGAAAAATCAAAGCACAGCACATTACAAAGTCCAAGGGTGAGTCAATGTTAGAGAAACCTATTAGTATAATTTACTAAATTATAAGGCAAAAGAGAAAAACACCTTTCTCTTCTCACCTCTCTTCCCTTTCTGAACAACTCAGCCCAAAAGCCATTAGCTAGCTCCAAAAAGGAGTTGGTGGGGAAAAGGGGCATGTTGGAACATGAGTGGAATCAGAAGGGCATGTGCAGGGTAGAGGACACTGGTGGTGGATAGAAAATTGGTTTTGTATAAGGCTTTGATCACATAAGTACCTATCTTTTAGATAATGGAAATTGGATAATGGATAATAGAAGTTGGGTTTCTTACTCTCAGAGAAGAGTTACAAATATGGGAACAGAGAAAACTAATATAAACACATAGAATTGTATTAGAGTAAAAGTATCGATGTTAATGCATTCTTAAATATACTGAAGGATGGAGAGATAGATAATGGATAGGTGGTTACATATATAACATAGAAAATCACCTACACGTAAGAGTGTGTGTGTCTTCACATAAACATACATCTATTCCTTAGCTCAGTGCAGTAGGAGGGGCCTGGAAGCAATGATATCCAAAGAACAGTGAGCAAACCTTAGACATTAAATTGCGGTTTCTAAATATCATCTCCATTGAAAAGACTGGGGCTCTTTGGAAAAAAAATAGCTGATTCTAGGGCTGGAGTAGGTAGAGTACAAGATAAACCTGGAAGAGCATCTTCTTTTACCAGAAAATAAGGAAATGCTCAAAGAATGAAGGGGACACACCACAAGGACACAGAAACCAGTTTGAAGTTGCTCCCACTGGGCAAATCTAGGATAATTTGAAGACTGAAACAGATAATTCCAATAATGGATCATAATGTGGCAAATTATGTCAGAATGAGTTCATACCTACATAAATAAACAAAGGTTTGAAGAAAAGTGGGACATTTATATAATCTCAAAGTACCTTTCCACAAAACAAAATTATTTCAAAAGGGAAAAAATAACTTTATGGGAGAGAAACCTGACAGATAACATCTTAAGCAAGCAAGCAAACTGAACATCACCAGTAATGGGATAAATCGAAATTATATACCACTTGACAAGATAAAATGAGAAGAACACTGTGTCCATCCAGTGATATTTGGGCCAAAATGCATAACTTGAATCTAATAACCAGGAATCATTAGACAAACTGACATTGAAGAATCATTTATAAAAGAACGAGCATGTAATTTTCAAAAGTGTCAGGGTCGATAAAGTTAAGAAAAGGGTGAACAGTTGCTTCATATTGAAGGAGACAGACATGACAACTAAATGCAGTATACAATTCTTAGTTTTGAATAACAGATTTATTGAAATAAAATTTACATCTCAGAAAATTCACCCTTTCAAAGTATACAATTTAAAATTTATTGGTATATTCACAGAGATGTGCAGGAATCCATGCCATCTAATTCTAAAATATTTTCATCACTCCAGAAAGAATCCCCAAACTCAATGGCAGTCACCCTCTATTTCCTCTCCCAACAGCCGCTAATCTCTAGGCAACACTAATCTGCTTCTAATCTGTATGAAATCTTAGAACATACTGTCAAGTTGTTCAGGAAAAAAACAAGTTTTTTTGGGTATTGTACTTACAGCTTTCCTCTAAGTTTAAAATTGTTGAGAGATAGAAAGAGACAGAGAAACACCACTTTCACATAAGCAGATGATGAAAGACTTTTTTATAAAATTCAGCTTCTACTGTTGATTTTTGTAAACTGTAAAAATACAGAATAAATGGACATTTCTTTAACAAATATATATTTGGTTTGATATCTATCTTAAATCAAAAAGCCAGCATCATTCATGCTTAATAATAAAACCCTAAGATATTCCTATTAAACTCAGGAACAAATCAAGATGCCCATTATAACCATTACTATTTAGCATTGTTCTGGAATTGCTAACTAACACAACGAGACAAGAAACAAAGATGGGATTCAAATATTAGATTTAAAAACTATTCACATGAATGTGAATGTTTGGCAAGCTCACCAATTAGGTAATACATAATAGGATAATAGGTTGGTGCAAAAGTAATTGCAATTTTACCATTATGGCAGAAACCGCAATTAGTTTTGCGTTTTTCCCATTATGGCAGAAAGTGCAAGTACTTTTGTACCAATTTATTACACAAAAATATGTAACTTTTCTAAAATCAAGAATACTCTAATACTGGAATCTCAAAATCAAAGCAACTGAACTCATGGAGATAGAGAATAGAAGGATGGTTACCACGGATAGGAAGCAGTGGTCAAGGTGGAACCAGGGAAAGGTGGGCATGGTTATGGGTACAACAAAACGTAGTTAGAAAAAGTGAACCAAATCTAGTATGCGATAGCACAACAGGGGGACTGTAGTCAATAATAATGTAATTGTACATTTTAAAATAACTTAGAGTATAACTGGATTTTTTGTAACAAAAAGGATAAATGCTTGAGGGGATGGATACCCAATCTTCCATGATGTGATAATAACACATTGCATGCCTTACCAAAATATTTCATGTACCTCATAAATATATACACCTACTATACACTCACAAAAATTAAAAATAAAATGACGTTTAAAAAAGAATAATCTGATAGGAGACACAATCCAGAAAACATTTCAGTTACATGAAATACAAAACTAAAAAGCAATGGGAAAATTATTTGGGATTAATAGCCTTTGCACTTAAATAACTAACATAAATCATTAAGAAAAATAAAAATGTTCTAATAGAAAAGTTTATTCCCTCAAAGAAGAAATTTAAATGGCACTAGACAGATTTTAAAATGTTCAACCTTACTAGTTATTAAACTGCAAAATGAAACCATGGAACTCCATTTGTTTTTGTTCATCAAACTGTCAAAGGCATTTTTAATGAATGTGGGTGCAGAGAAATTGGTACTGTTAAATTACTGTTAGTGATAATGCATTCTATTATTAAAACTTTCCTAAAGGACAATATGACAGATTATACTAATAAGCTCAAAAACCTTAACTATCTCTCTTCTAACACAGTAATTTCACTTACAGGAATCTACCAGTTTCAAAAATGTATATAAAATTTAGGTACCTGGGTGTTTACAAATGCATTGATTTATGACAAAAAAAAAATTAGAGACAACATGAATGTCCAATAGTAGGAAACTGGCTGAATAAATTGCAAAAAAATTCAATGTGATTAAGTATCATCTAGCTAATAAAAATGATGTTGTTTGAAACATGTTCACAAAAGATTGTTCTAAGCCCTTGTAAAATGTAATCAATAATCAATGCAATCAACCATCTCTATGCATAGGAAAAGTTGGGCCAGGCGCGGTGGCTTATGCCTGTAATCCCAGCACTTTGGGAGGCTGAGGCGGGCAGATCACGAGGTAAAGCGATCGAGATCAACCCAGTCAACATGGTGAAACCCTGTCTCTGCTAAAGATACAAAAAATTAGCTGGGCTCCTGTAGTCCCAGCTATCAGGAGGTTGAGGTAGGAGAATTGCTTGAACCCGGGAGGCAGAGGTTGCAGTGAGCTGAGATTGTACCATTGCACTCCAGCCTGGGCAACAAGAGCGAAACTCCACCTCAAAAAAAATTGATTTTTATATTTCAACAAATTAAGAATGGTAATTTTGCTTGTTTATAATTTCCAAATTTCTAACTATTTCATAATAAAGAAAAACACAGCTTCTTTCAAAAAAATCATCTCCACAAGTGCAAGATGGGTCTATGGCAACCAGTGAGGAAAAACACTGGGCTTTTTCTTATCAACCAAGTTCATTCTGAATCTGAGGTCTAATGTGGCTACCAAACAACCAAGATGCTTAAGGATTCTCCGGCAGAAGTAGGGAATCAACAGCTAGGTAAGCAACAGGCCCATTTTATTCTTTCATGTTTTGAGGAAGCTTGGAACATTGTGCTCAGTTAGAAGAGGGGCACTTAAGGGACATGATTCCTGGGAAATTCAGGGAGTTCTGCGATCAACAGCTAAGTTGATGAGTAGATTTAATCCACTGAAAAGAAGGGTTAAGGGGAATATAAACATTTTCTTCAGATTTCCAAATGACCATCAAGAGAAAGCGATACTAGCTTTATTCTTAGCAGTTCTAAAAACAGAAGAAGAGCCAATGCACAGAAATTGCCTAGAGAGCATCCAGGGACAAGAAAAACTGTTCCAACAATAAGACTCACTCCACAGAGGAGGAGGAGGTGAGGCACAACAGAGGGCTTCCAGCAGAGACTTCTAAGGACTCATTAGGGCTGCTGCAATGTAGATTTCAGGCTTGGTAAGAGATTATAGTAGACACGTGTCTCTATGACCTGGCAACTCAAAGTGCAGTCCATGACTGGCAGCACTGACATCACCTGGAAACTTGATGAAAATACAGATTGTTGTCCCATCCCTACATCTAATTCATCAGAATCTACATTTCTAAAGATCTTCACATGACTTCTATGCACATTAAAGAGTGAAAAGCAGGTGTAGATGAGGTCTTCTAACTGTAGCCTCTCCATCCACTTGGGTTCTTGGGTTCTCCTGTTGCTACTCCTCTTTGACCTAATCCTGCATGACCTACTAAATCCCCACTGAATACATATTCATTAAAGGTAGAAGACCTGTGGGTGGTTTGGGATAGAATGGGTATAATGAGCTTCCAA